GTCAATGCGCTTGCCGTTGTTTTCACTTTCTTTTGAGAATATTTGTCGTTTTCGTTTTTCAAAAAGTAACTTTCACAAAAATATATATTAAAAAATATTAATATTTATGATACATAATTGATATTATTAGAAAGATATTTAAATCTAAATTTTTAATAAATTTATTTAGAGATATAAATGTTGTATGTATATTTTTTAATCAAATCAGCGCAAAAAGCAAAGGCGACGAATAATTTAGGAGAGAGGGAGTAGACGCCTACCAGTGCGTGTCCCGTGTCCGGTGTCCCGAGCCGTGGCCGTGAGGCCGTCACGGCGTCCGTCGCTCGCTCCCCGCTCCTCGCAGTATCAAACGCAGGCCCAGAAAAGTTCCCGACCAAGAGGACGATGACGCCGAGCAGGAGGCGGAGGAATGGGAGCCGGAGCAGGAGCCGGAGATGGTGCCCCCGCTCCTGTCCTGTCCGTTACCGCCGCGCGCTTCAAGCCACGATCCCGCCCGCGCCAAGGTCAGTGCGGTGCGGCATCCCGCCTCCTTCCAATTCGGCTATTATTCTCGCTTCGCCCGGGCTCCTTGCCCTGCAATCGCGGCGGATCTGGCGTCCCACCATCCGCGTGCTAGATCCAGTTCTCAGGTCCGATGCGCGCGCTGCTGGCTAGCTGCTAGTTTTTGCCCGGCTGGTCGTCGGTTAGCCTGTTGGCTCGTGCTCGGGCTCCATCCTCTCTTCTCCTGCCGTTTCCAACGCCGCCGTGATCCCTCTGTTGGCCGGAACTCTTGGATTGGAATCATTGGATGGAGCCTGCAAATCCTCTGCCTCCGAGGATCCGACCGGTGACACTCTGTTTCTCGATTCATCATCATTCATTCGATTTGGATAGAGTATGTATGATGCTGGTGTTCGGATTAGACTTTAGTGTAAGCCCGCGCATTTGATAATTGAGTTGGTTAAACAAATTGCAGGTCTATCAACCAAGGTTGCACGTCTGTTTTTTGGTCAAATCCCACGATTTTTTTACTGCTAGTGGAGATTCTGGAGAACGCTTTACGCTACGGCCTTTGCTCTGCTCACATGAGACGTTCTACTTAGCAACAGGACAAGTCCAAATTAGTTGTTTGGGCAGTACTTTTTGGAAATTCCATAGTAGGGGTAAATCAGTCAACATCGGGAGTTGCTTTTAGCTACTGAGCCATTTCGTTTGTTGTTTCAGCCAGGGCTTATTAGCCAGCCAACAGTGTTTTCCTTTTACAATAAATCAGCACCAGTCGGACTTATCAGCCTAAAAACCAACCAGCGAACAGGTGTTCCTTTCTCATTTTCTTCTGTGGATGGTAAATAATAAATAAATAAAATACTCTGGAAACGACAAATATTTTTCCCTCATCGCTCCTTCAGGATTTCCCCCTAGATATTTTAAACTGGCACTTTGTTTTCGCAGGCATCATAAATGATGAATACGGGGCATATACTGTATGATGGATTCCTTGGAGTGCTAAATGCCGCGCGCCGCGGTTGTCCCAAATCATTTAAGACCTTGGCAGGAGTAGCAGCGGGCATCTATTCTTCACCGTTCAGGTAAATTACCTTCTCCACATATATACCACATGCTTCTTCAAGCACAGTGAGCATTTCTTCTGGTACTTTACAAATTATCAGGAAGGAGCCTCCACTGTGTAGGAGTAACTATCAATGTTCACTTCATTCAGACATTCATTTTTCGCACTTCCTAGTTTCTAGTGGCCTCGCTGACTCGCTCCATAAAGGTTACCATATTGATATTTCCTCACCAAAATTTTGTGAATAGTCTTAACAATAATCTTGAACGAGAAACACAATTTCTTTCTCTTACTTCGTGCCAAACAATCATTTATATAGTTATATGTAATTGAATGCCATCCAGTTTTGTATAAGCTGGAAGTTTTTTTCCTATTTCTCACAGTTTGGGACTAAATAGATGCCTGCTTGTCAATAGTAGTGAATCATGTCCAATTTAGGTCAATGTATGGTTGGTTTTAGCTCACCTACACATATGCTTTCTAACCTTACACTGTTACTTAACTTTTGTTACTCTTGTGGGTCCAACCTGTCAGTATACGTATTTTTGCTTAAGCCTATAGCGTGATGATAAATAGTGAAGTACTAGAACAGTGAACTGGAGCTTAATCACTAATGGTCCAGTAAGAAAGGAAGTTTCCAGTTTAAATTCTTGAAATACATTAGACTGGTGATCTTTTTTACAAGCTCAAAACAAATCAAGAAAATTGTATATGCTCCCCAGAAAGTGATTGATCGGTGTGGAAGTTCTTTTCAGTTGATGTTAAAGCTTAATGGAGATCACCGCTCAACAACAACAACAACAACATAGCCTTTCAGTTCCAAGCATGTTGAGGTAGGCTAGAGTTGAAACCCACCAAGAGCCCCAAGTCACGGTTCAGGCATTTCAATAGCTGCTTTCCAAGTACCCATATTCAAACATAGATCTCTAGGTATATCCCAACAACAACAACAACAACAAAGCCTTTAAGTCCCAGGATGCTAAAAAATGATTTAGAAAAGTATGCCTGGAAATAAATAGTAGGAACATATGGCTTCAGAGTATTTTGGGTTAACTATGGCTTCAGACTGTGATATGATTTATTTGGTAAATTTGCATTTTATCAACTTTCTGATTCTGTCTTCCATCGTACACGGACATTTCTTGTTATCTGCTTAATCTGATCCAAAACTTCTTTGCTGATTGAAATTTTGTAGTTCTTCTGCATTGAAGAACTGAGAAAGGTGTGTCATTGTATATAAGCATTGGCGCTACTATATGAGTATATTTTTGCTGTGCTTTTGCCAAAACTTTGCTGTGGTTTTTGTTGAGTCTCAACTCTGCCCCAACTTTGCTTGGGACTAAATTGTTTTGTTGTTTTGCTCTGACGTCAGATCTGTAAATGTTACCTATAATAATAAATCTTACATATAACAGGTACAACTTCATAGTTTTTTCTTGAATGACAACTTCGTAGTTTTATGTGTTTTGATAGGCAAATACCCCTGAACAGATCGCCACAAACTCACACACACAAGAACACCAATGAACACAGTGGGTTTGGTGGCTGGAATGACTGAGCCTTTTCTGATTCTCTCCTATATATATATAGGCAGCCATTGGCTACATTTTAGGCTGTGGTAGCTTCCTAATTAATGCAGAATATTACACACTTAATCAGCCTATTACCGCTATTACTTCATAGTGAAATTAGGCTAAAGATAAGAATATGAACCTAGACACTAGCATGCACCAAGACATATTTAACTGTGGTTGCATGGAACGGATCAACCAATGGTCAATGGTTTTGATGGCTCATGTAGTAATTGTGGCTAACAATGGATGGAAATCGTAATTGGTTTATACTGATAAAATTAATCATCTAGCAGATCTACCACTGGTGTTAGGACAAGTTTGTTAGATTTTGACACATATAGCAGTCCTCTCTCTCCGACCCAATTTAATTATTGCTTTAGTTCCATATACATATAATGCTTTAGTTTTTCCAATCATGATTGGACTTTATTAGTCACACGCTTATTTCTCTGACATTACCGCCAACAAGAAATCAATATTGACAATGTTATCTTGAGGTTGGAAAACATGTAAAGACCAAAACTAGCTTCCAAAATAACATCTATTTTCAAATTGGGATAGTAGTAATTACTTATCTTATTTTCTCATATACGTTTAAACAGTCATAATAGCTGTAGAATTCCTGCAAGACTGACCCTCAGTGGTCATGACAGCTTTATGGCGTATCTTCATATGTAGTTCGATACAAATAGAAAGAATCACACTTCAGAATGCCACAAGTTTGCTGATAGGCATGGATAATGCATGTCTGATATTGGTTATGTACGTGGAGGGAACAAGCTTCTCTAAGTAGACTGTACGATTTAGAAGGGCCTTTGCTTTTCCTTTTCTGCTTCTCAGATCACGAATCAAACAGATTATAGAAAATATCTGGTTGGTCAGTTAATCAAGCTTTGGTTGCAAATATTACTTCATATTTTGAAGACATTACTGTTGATTTTCAGAATTCAGATGGAATGGAATATATCACATGTGAGAGCCAAGAAATGCTGGGAAAGCGAAAAGATTGTTATGAAAAGGTGCTTTGGGTGTTGAAGGACCACTATGTCTGCTATTGAACATGACTGCAACAAGTTGGCATTTCAGCATAATCTTGATAATAATTTTGGCAGCAAGCAGAGCAAAGTTTCCATGAAACTGATGTCTGTTAAGAGGTAATGCAGGGCATGTACCATAAGCATTTTCTTTGATTTGTAGTTTTGTGGAATGTGGATTCGTTCTTTGTGATTTGTAGCACATATAAGCAATAAATAATCAGGTCCTTCATTAGGACCTTGAGGTGAACTGACTGTACCCATTAGTCATTACCTAACGTTTGGTAAGCATAGTCCACACAAAAAGGTAAATAGAAGTAAGTGTAGCCGTACACCTTCTAGAGCATATCAAGTTCTACACCATTAGTCATTTTGTCTGCTACATACTTGTATTGTATATACTTTGATGATAGTTTTAAAATTTATCATAAATTTATTTTCATCACTAATGCTATCCATGTCTGAAAAACACATACTTTTTCGTTATATATATGAATAAAAGAGGCATTCACTGGCCTTTCGCCTCAGTCCTGCCATTCACTTGTAGTTGTAGCTACCACTCATATGACTATTTTCTGTGTATAGTAATTAGATGGACAATGAACTATCCTTATTCCAGTCAGGATCACTGATGCCTACAATAAAGGCTTACTTTGTTCATTCTAATTATCAGCTTGCTGCATACTGAGATTGCACCCGTTGTTGACTCCACCTTTTTACTTTGCCCGTGGAACTGGTACAGCACAACCACTGTCTCTCCAAGGTCTAATCTAATACTCCAATATTTCTGAGTTCAAATCCTTGAACTCAAACACATATTGCATTTACTACCGTCTGTGGATCTCAGGTTGTATTATTCCCCAAGACAAGAATCTTTTGCTTTGGCAGCAGGTTCTGCCTCAAGTATGCAAGGCATGGAGTCGTGCTGTCAAGTTCTGTGTGTCTGGGCGGGACTAGTGAGCAGAGCAGCTGCAAGGACTTGGCAGGCCCATTCGACCATATCCACACAGTGAGCCATAGCTTGCCCCCATCAAAGTGCCGCTGCCCACAAAGGCACAACACACTGTGGCTCACAATGAAGCATGCTCGCATCCTTCCTCCCCGCTTTGTCACCCAGACGATACCCACCCCACCCTTTCCGTTTGCCATAGTTCCTGCATGATATTCAGCCTGTGCGCTTGTTGATTTCAGGCAGGGCTTATCAGTCAGCCAACAGTGTTTTCCTCTCACAACAAATCAGCACCAACCGAGCTTATCAGCCCAGAAACCAAGCAGCGAACAGGTTGATTGATAGCGGAGAAGATGACGGTGGCATTGGCCGTTGCGGTGGGAGGTAGCTGTGGAGATGAGTGCCACTTCGACACTGCCACTGCAAACTGCAACCCAATGGCATGCTTGGCTCAACCACTTGGCACTGGTCGGCGTAGACCTAGGCAGAGTTTTATCATGGGGTGGGTGACGGGTGTGGGTCTGTCCTCTTTGCCGAAAGACGAAGGGAGAAACTTCGTTAAAAGAAAGACAAGGGAGAATAAAAGGGTGTAGCAAACCCTCGTGCTCCTGTGTCCTGTGCAATTGTAGTACCGTCTTTTAAATAAAATGCTACGAGTTCCAAAGTGCTGGTGTTGATAGTCACGGAGAGGTATGGCTAGTTGTGGTCCGGTGATTCTCGAACTTGTTGAGACAGGGAGGTATGGCTAGCTGTGGTCCGGTGGGTGATTCTTGAACTTGTTGAGACGTGCACAAGGGAAAGTTCAGACTCTACTTGGATGGCCAACGTTTTTCATAGATGCATGGTATCAGTTGTAGGAGTAGAAGCTATATACAGCCCGAGAAGAGAGAACTCGACGACGAAAAAGTTGAGCCTACTCCCAGTCCCAGCTCACGAATCAACTCGACACAAGGTCACTGGCTGTTGGTTCAATCTAACTACAGCATACTATCTTCGTTCTACACGAGTCAAACAATAAGTCAAACCATTTTAAGTTTCACTAATTTTATAGGAAATATATCAATATACTCTATCGGTCCGATCCCATAATAGATGAAGTTTTAGCTCTGAGCACGAGTATTGAGTAGTGAAAAAAAAGGTGTACTCCCTCCGTCCATAAAAGAATGCAATTATGGAATCTATACCGGTCAAACTAGCTCAACTTTAACCAAGTTTATATTAAATAGTATTATCACTTATGTCTCCAAATAAATTTATTATGAAAATATATTCTATAATTAGTCTAATGGTACTTATTTTGTATTATAAATCTTAGTGCTTTTTTATATAAATTTAGTCAAAATTCAAACTGTTTGACTCCTCGAGAAGTGAGAATTACATTCTTTTGTGGACGGAGGGAGTAGCGCATATAAAACTAGATGAAGAGAAATAGAGATATATTAAGAAAAGTTGAGAAATGAAAATGGGGACTAATGTGGGACAAGCGTAGAAATATAGAAAGTCGAGTATCATGGGACAAATGGAGTATATATTACTCAAAATAAGTATTCTCTCCATCCCAAATTTTAAGTCATTCTAATTTTTTTTTGGAGAGTCAAAACATCTTAAGTTTAACCAAATTTATATAATAAACAGTAACATTTACGATACTAAATAAGTCTTATTAGATTCTTCGTTAATCATAATTTTTATAGTATGCTTATTTGATGCCATAAATCTTTGTAACTCTTTATAATTTTGATCAAACTTAAGATGCCTTCTCTCTAACAAAGTTGGAACAACTTATAATTTGGAACGAATGGAGCATATTATAAATTATATTTTAGGATGAATCTAATACTATTTATTTAGCATGATAAATATTAGTAAGTACTTTCTATATAAAATCAGTTAAACTTCTAATCATTTGAATTGTATTTTTTTACGGAGGGAGTAGAATCCGATGCTTGAAATGAACACCCTGTTCGCTTGATCGTATCAGCTATGTTTATCACCGTGATACAGTGTTTTTCTCTCATCACATAATAGTATCAGGCGGCTTATAAGCCATATAAACGATAAGCGAACAGGGCTGAAGTTTCGGTTTTGTCTTCGCAGCTGGTCAACGGGTACATAAACCGATGGCAGGTGCATGCATATCAGTGAGTCAGTCAGCCGCGTTGTTCCATGGCTCAAGTTGCAACATATGAAAATTGCGATTGCTTAGCAAGTTCAGCCGGAGTGACACAACAAGCTTTTGACTTTTTATATTATATTGGGAAGAATGGGAGCTTGCTGTTTGTCTGCCAGGGCCAGGCTGGTTTGGTTTAGCCACCACGGCCACCAAACGAATTCCCCTTGTTATTATTTTTCTCTTGATTGATGAATTGAATAAAAAATCACAAAGAAAATGACACCATTCCAATTTGTACATTTCTTGAGATGCAAGCGAGCGACTTTTGCAGGCGCGAATGACCGCGAGCGACAGCGACTTGTTGCAGAGGAAAAAAAGAGCAGCAAACGCGTGAAGGAAACAGACACCGACGAGGATGGAAGAAAGATCGGCACAGCGCATCGGAACCTTTATGCTCATGCCCCCGACGGCGGCGCGGCCGCGTCGCCGTGGTGGTCGTCGTCGTCGTCGGCCGCCAGGGGCTGGAGCGCGCGGATCTTGATGTCGTAGCGCGGGGGCCTTTCGCCGTCGCCTCGGTCGTCGTAGCCGAATCCGAGGCCGGCGCCGCACTTGCGGCAGAGCAGGCGGGTGCGGCGCACGAAGAGGCGGCGCGCGCGCAGGTCGACGCACCGGAACTCGTCGGCGTGCCCGAACCGCGCGTCGTCGATGGCGTCGAACGCCACCACCCCGCGCCGCGCCGCGCGCCCGTACGCCGCGCCCACGATCCCCGCCGTGTTGCGGTCCGACGACCGCAGGCGCAGGTCGTACCCGCACGCGCCGCAGCAGTAGGTGACGGCGGAGAGGCTCCTCTGGATGGGCGACGGCGAAGGCGCGGGCTTCTCGTCCATGTCCGTCGCTGGCTCCATCGACGACGACGAGGTTGCTCGGTGCCTTGTGTTGCTGGCGTTGGCTGTTGGCACGCAGGTGAGGTCAGTGCAGGAGACGAAACAGGCCTCGATGCTGATGCTCCGTTTGCATTGTGTTGACGAGGGACGAGGTCAGTGTATATATAGATAATAGATGCTCCTTTGGCAGTTGCAGGAGAAATTGCAGTTGCAACTGCGGGGAAGGTGGCAGGTGAGGAGGTGAGGCGGCGAGGGCGAGGGCGAGGGCGTGGGGTCTGCGCCGACCGCGCGGGGATGGCGCGTGGAGGTGGATAACGATGACGTGGCCGAGCACGGTGTGGTGGGCCGGTGTGGGGGGGGGGGGGTGTTGCGGGTGCGTGCTCTTTGCTATTCTTGCCCACGTTCGTCCAACCAACGCAACGCATGCAGTCACCCCCGCCAGGCGCCAGCTGGAAGATGCGCCGCCCCGCGCTCACTCAGCTTCAGCTCCGGTGATCCCCGGCGCCGCCCTCTTGCTCTTTGACAAATTTCGCCAGTGATGAACGTGACGTACTCCTGTACTGAACTACACTGCGGTATACTATTTGTTTGTTTTTCTTCTTGTGTCCATGAGTCAACGATAATAGTACCCAAAAAAAAAAAACGATAATAGTAAACTGACATTTCAGCTCGGGAGCCCCATAAAAAGATAGGAGGAAGGAGGATTTGATTACCATGGTCTAGGGGCTACACTCGGCCCAAGATCTCACTGTGGCCATCAAAGGCCGCCGGTCATGTTTCAAGTTTGGGCTTGTCTTCCTACATTATGAGGCGCGCGCACATAGGATAATGGAGGCCTGCTTCCGAGTTTCTTGCACAAGGCCCACCCTTTTAAGATCCAGTTACACAAACGAACTTGCCATCGTACGGAGAATCAGTTGTTTATATTTATTAATAACTAATATAATTATTATTTTGCTGAATTTATATGAAAAAATATGGCTTTCTCGGTACAAATATATCGCAGATATACGTTGGGAGATACTAGCGTTCGGACAGAAGCGCGTGTCCAGACGCCTGCGCCACCTTCGTCACTGCGCTCGTGGAAAAACACCGCTCCCTCCGCTCCTTCCCCCTCCTCTCTCTCCGCGAGTCTGGATGCCCACGCCCGTGGGTGGGAATCGCCGCACCCGCCGCTTCTTCCCCCTGACCCCTCCTCCTCTCTCTCTCTGCGCGGGCGGGGCCAGGGCGGCATGATGACGAGCATGCCCTGTCCGCAGGACCCTAGGTCACTGTGCGCCCCAACCACCAAGCCCCAGCGTGACCCATCCCCTGGCGCCCTGGGCCGTGCCCCCATGACTCTTGTGACAAAACCGTTCGAAATAACACGCTTTCGGAAGCGCTCGTCTTCCACTAGACACTAAGCACCTCGAAAGTGAGCTACATCGGACAGCTCCGTCGAACACACCCCAAGGAAGAACTCGAAACAATCCACGTTTTACATCAAGAATCTAATAATGAGTACGGGTTTACAATACTTAGTCTATTTCATACAACAAGCGTTCTTGGAAATTATTTATTACAATACCAGAGTTTAGAGTGCGATAATTAAACAGCGGAAAGAAAATAAGCATCTAGCGAAAATGATACAAGGATCCGTCTGTGCCCACCAGAAGAATCCTCCACACAAGAGCTACTCCTCAAGCTGCACCTGCAACAGGGGTACAATAAACCCTGTGTACACAATGTACTCGCAAGACTTACCCGACTAGTGGGAATAGTTTCTCGACTCTCAAGTAGTATGATAGGCAATATGGGTTTGCTGTTTTCTTTTTGTTTGCAAAAAGGATTACTAATAGTTCATCCTTACAGTCAAATTTTATTAGCAGTCATGATTACTTCATTAGCTAACCATTCTAAGTAAGCACCTGTTCTACTTTCAAGCAAGCGTTAAGCAATCAGAACTATTTCACCATCTTTTATCTTCCAGCTCTTACTACGGTGCTAGACCATAGCCAAGTCGTACCGTCTCACAAAAACAGCGATTCGTGAACCAATGTATCCCAGTTGGGTACCCCAAAACACATGCCATGTTTGTATCCTAGGCACAAACAAGACCAACCCATTCCACTCCTGTCACGGGGTCTAGGTCCCCATCCAAACTTGGACTCCAAGCCCCCACACTTGAGACCCGATCTCAGTATGGTGCTTAGACCTCCACCTT